AGATTTAAACTCTCTTCTTTAAACAACTTGCAACTGTTAATGAAATACTGTTGACTTTTCCAAGCATGGACTATCACTAAGAGCAAAGGCAAGAATTAGGTTTTTAGGATTTGGTGTATCTTTTATATATTTCAGTGCTGCTTACCAAAATAAACTCACCAGAGAGTGAGTTTGTTACATTAACTGTCTTTCAGTGGAAGAATCTGGTCTAATGAGGACAACTAAACTTAAGACAGTCTTTACCTTAACAAAAATAAGACTCCACCCTGGAAAGCAAGATGCTCCACCCAAACATGAAGCTTATATTTCCCAAATGTGATTTATATCAGAACTGGGAATAAAATATTTTTAGAATGGTGATTCAGTACTGAAATATAAATGAAGTCTGTGAAAAGTATGTTTCCCCACCTAAATGGCAATGCATCTATTAATATAATTAATATTTCTCCAATGCAGATTAAAAGTGTTACCTTTTCTAATATTTGTTTTCATCAGGTGTCCAGAGTGTTTTAAAGGCACTCCTTGCATTTTAGTTCCTGTACTTCCAAGTCTTCCTCTTCCTAATGGGCTCCCATTCTGTTCCAAGCGCGCAATTTTGGCTGGTGGACCCTTCGGATCGCTTACATTGTTAGACATTTCTGAATGTTCTTTCCCCTGAGTTGCCTCGTTCAAATGATCCATACTCAGTCCCGCCTCTAAAGATCACCTGCCATGATTTAAAAAATATATATATGTTGTACACGTGTGCGTATGTGTATGTAGACAGTTAACACATGTACAGAGATACATATGTATTGTAAGCTCGCAATTAAGAAGTAAATGAATATTTTAAAATAAGATAATACATTTATCCTCAGAAAATGTTCCCATTCTCCAAAGATTGAATGATTTGGTAAAAAAAATATTTAATGCCATCTACAGAACACTAAAACAACTATGTGCAGCCTAGGTAGTCATATTCTATATTGAATTCTTAAGAATGAGAATTAAATAGGTGAAGGGGATTACTAAATTACATACTCCAATCTATCCATTGCTACAAGTCTCACAAGTGTTTGTTGTAAATCATGAATGCTTTTATTTAAATAAATAAATAAATAAATAAAAAATAAAAATCAACACTATAAAAGTGCTTTCTCTCTGCTAGTAAATAAATGCAAGTACAACAATGAAGAGAAGATTGAAACTTTAGGTAACCATGCAACAGATTTATTAGCAACATGAAATATTGTGCATTTACATCTTTTTCCTAGAAATATGAACAACCTCAATTGCCTTGTAATTTTTGATCAGATGGGGTTGTGTTTGTTTTTGCATTCTTCCAAGCTGTTTTACATTACGAATTATCAACTTTTGAAAACTTCAAATATGTAGATGAATATTTTAAGATGTAATCAAGTTTTAAATGTTAGGTCAAATATGGGATCTTTTAAAAGCCAAAATAAACTGAAAGAAGGTGGAAACATCTCTCAAATATCACAAGGGTCTCATGTTGAAAAACTACAATTCCTGTGGAACTTCAGAAACCCTCCAACACAGAGACACCCCTGCTAGTGTAAAATTGTGTGTTGATACAGGTACCTGAAGTCAAAAAATGGAAGTAATTTCAACAATATCAAATTAAGAAAATGGGTATTTTAGCATGTTGCATTTCCTTTCTAAAAACTTGTTTTTTAAAAACAAACATTCCAGCTAAATGACTGGATCATTAAAATCCCTAGACTAAAACACAGAGTAAGTTTGTGACTTTAGTTATATAGATACACACACACGCCCCGAAACCTATTTTAATCAACTATAAAACAATCAGTTACTGAAAATAGATACTTATCTGGTAGTAATTTTATTCTGGATTACTATCCTAGTTATATTAAGGGTCTTCTACCTTTTTCTGACTGAGAAAGGTATAGTCACACTGTCAATTACATTATGTATATAATATAATCACAAAGAACAGGTGACTAGACATTCATTTTATGAACTAGTATTTACATTACTGAGTACAAACACTAATACTAGGGGAGTCATATTTAGAAAGACTTGCATGAATCTGATAATTGCTACTTTCTTTCAGTTGCCTAGTAATTCAACGCATTTTGTACATTTTTCATTGCAAAGCTATTTAGGTCTGGATTTCTTGGGAGACACCATATATTCCAATGATAATTCTGTAAACAATTCTATCCTGTTTGAACACAGGCTGCTTTGTCCTACATAGCCAAGAAAAGAATCTGTGTTAATCTGGATGTTTACTAGCAACCTTAAGAATGCTGACTGAATTACTGTAAAGTTTAGAAAATAATGGTTATTTATCCTTAAGCTGTAGAGTGACATGCTGAGAACCGAAGGTTTACCATTGATCATGGTCCCATCTGGTTTTGGTTATGAGTCTCATTAAACAATAAATGTGCCTATTTCAACCACCTTTAAAAAAAATCAAGATTACTCTATCATTACATTAACTGCAGTCTAACCAAAAACTGCAGACTCAAATCATTGACATCTACCAATGTTTCCTTACAATAGCAGCTTTATAATAAAGCAGTATTCTGAAACTAGTCTTTCTTGAGAATAAGAGGATTCACTTAAAAAAAAAAAAAAGCTTTACACAAGAAAATCCTTGTCACTTCTGGCAACTTAAAAAGTACACTACAACTCCAAGTTTCTTGCTACAAAGAGTATCCAGCCATCATGAATAGAATAATACATCATATACAATGAATAAAAATGACAGATCATAATTTAGTTAGTGTATTGACTCTACCAAAACACCAAATAGGTCATTCTAATTTGGCCTCAGAATACCCACCCATAGGCATCCTTTAACCACTTAGTCATCTTGTAAAAAGCTTTACATTACAAAGCAAAATTACATGCACATAAAACACCTAATTTACTCATTTCAACTCCATGCCCAAGGCTAAAGTTCACCGAAACCTCAGTTTGGAATAGTGATGAGCAACAATCAGCATGGCCTGCCCAGAATGACGGCACTATGGAGTAACTATTATCTCTACAGATGGCAGGCAGAGAGTTTATTCAGGTTTCATATTTAGACCTCCTTTACACTAGCTACAAGTTTCCATCCTAGACATTATATAAGGTCACAATTTCAACATACAGTTCAAAAAGATCACACACATGGACACACATCAACTAATTTCTGAATGAATTCATTGTAATAGTCCCTAGTCCTGAAATAAGGGGAATCAGTAACATTTTATTTCTTTAACTCCTCATGAATTAGCCCCCTCCCCTTTTCATCTGCCCTCCTTTTTCTCTCCCCAATAAAACCCCATAATCACATTTAAAACAGGCTCTGCTCTTATCCATTCCATATGGCTGTCACAATCCAGGCCAAGCTTTCACTGTGACCTTTTAAAGAGACAAAGAAGCAAAGTACTATCTAGAAACAGAAACACTGCAGTTTTCTGAGTGAAATTAGCAAAACCGACCCGAAACTCACCACTTCAAAACTTGACAGCATATAAATAACAAAAACAAAGGAGGTTTCCTTTGCAGCCAGAGCTCTTGAAGAGGAAGAAGTTCAAGACTGATGTTGGCTAGGTCCTTTAAAAAAAAATACACACTATACACCCGCCTCCCCCCCAAAAAGCCACCAGCCCTGAAGGCTACTTCCCCTGAAATTCTATTATTTTCCTTTTTGTTGTTGTTGTTATTTTCCTCTATGCGGGGGAGGGGCAAAAATAAATGGCGAGAAACACAGTAGCCATGAGCAAAACGGCAATGGGCAAAAATATTAAATATCTTTTAGGAAAGCAGTTTTCAAGGTTTGGAAAGGGAAGAAGGAAGTGAAGCTCAAAATTGAACAGATAAGTGTAATGCTAAAAATAAATTTAAAAAATGAAAGTAGTAGATTTAAATGGAGGGGGTGACTTGAGTCTAGCTATTCTTTCAAAAATAACACCAATGCGGACAAGAGCAAGTGGGGGGCGGGAAGGGGGAGAGGAAGCTTTTCTATCCAGGGTGAAGAGCAGAAAGTCTACTTCTAGGCTGTCACTTACACTATTATTCTCCAACAAGCATACAGAAGAACAGCGCGCACACAAAAAAATCAATCTGCTCCTCTCCCCCAAAACCACTAACAGCCCCCAAACTTTCTGCATGAATCTGTAGTAGGGGTGGGGAGGGGGGTGGGGTGAGTGTAAAGAAAACAGCAGGAAAAGGCACCAAAATGCCACTTTTAATTTCGCCTTCCCGGTCCGTTAAAAGAAAACACACAACAAAATAGAGAGAGAGGACCTGTCTCTTCTCATTTACCCGGGGCTGTGAGAGAGAGAGAGAGGAGAAGGAGGAGGAAGGAAACGCACACACAAGACACCACCACCACCAAAGTAGAGAGATTTCACTCCACACCAAGAGGTGTGTATGATTATTTCAAAATAAAAAAAATGAACAAAAGAGTGATAAAAAACAAAAACAACCCCAGACAACTCCACGGAGAGTTACTGCAGATGGCAAAGGAAAAATTGGAAAAACAAAAGGTTGCAAAGAATAATAATAAAAAAAAATCCTGGCTTTGATGCTTGTTTCCCCCTGGCTGGCTGGCTATTTATTTAGGCCGGTTTGGTGGCTGTGGCTGGATGTTACATGGATATGTTTGTGTGTGTGTGTGTGTGTGTGTGTGTCTGTCTCCCCGGACGGAGCTGCTTCGCTTTGCTCTCCCCCCACCCTCTCTGTGCTTCTGTCCCCATTAAATTATTAGTTGACTCATCACTCCTCCTCCTCCTCCTGCTGCTGCCGCCGCCGTCCCCTGATCAGAGCCTCCTCTCCTCCAGCGCTTTCTGCTGCTGCTGCCGCCGCGGTGGCGGCGGCGGCTTCTTCTTCCTCCTCCTCATTTTAATACAACAACAACCGAGGCCAGCCGGCTTTTTGCAGCCCGAGACTAGGAGGGACGCAGCCTCCCTGCTGCTGCCCGGAGCCTTTCCCCGGCGGCCCCGGATCATCCGACGCGTCCTGGGAGAGAGAGAGAGAGAAAGTGGCAGAGGAGGAGGAGGCGGCGGTAGAGGAGGAGGAGAGGAGGGGGTGAGCGGAGGAGGGCAGTGAGCAGGGGTGGAAATGGGAACCGGAGCGAGAAGCGGGATGGAGGGGGGTTGGAAACCAGAGACCCAAAGAGGTGAGTGGGGGAGAGGGTTGGGGAGGGGAAGATGGGGGTGGGGGGGGAGGGGTGCGATTTCCGGCACAGGGCGCGCAGGAATTTGTAATCAGCTTGATTAGAGTGAGGCGGCTCTGCATTGATTACACACAATAGCCAGAATAAGAGGGGGCCGCGCGCGGCGCAGGCAGAGCGGAGCGGGTGCGCCTGCCTGCGAGCCCCCTTCGTTACGCAGCAGGAAGGACGCGGCGCGGGGGGCCCAACCAGATGGGGAATGGGGGGGAGGGTGAACAATATCCAGGCAACCTGCCAAGATGTGCGTAATAATCAACACCCCCTCCCTCTCTGCTGCCCTGGTGCCAAGTAGCCAACACACGGCGAGGGACGGGACCCGAGGGGATTGCGCACTGGAACCACAGGGAGAGGGGACGGGGTATTGCAGGTGACGCTGCTCCGGCTGCCAAGCCTGACAGCCACAGGGGCACCCGCCAGTGAGCAGAGGCTTCGCAAAGGAAAGTGCGTAGGGGCTGGAGCGATGAGCAGACCAAGGGGCGGTAAAGCGGCAGCGTGGAGAGTTGCAGCCTGGAAAGCAGGTGCACGGTGCACATAAGGAGCAGGCAGATTACAAATCAGGATGGACAACACGGAATCCAGAGTGGGTGAACCCTTAGAGGCAGAAGGGAAAAAAATCCTATTTCCCTGCTACCTCGAGTGAAAGAGCTTTTGTTCCTAAAAAGAGCCATGGAACAAATTGTAAATAATAACTAAAGTTACTGGCTATATAGTTATGAGTGCACTCAAGTTACCAGGAGAGTAAATGGGAATGCTCTGTCTCTGACTTGTAATATTGCTTCACTTTACTCAAGGTTTTCCCAGCCCCTGGAAAAGTGAACAAGAAATATGCTCCTCCAAGAAGTAGTTGCAGTTGGAAGCATACCACAGAAGAAATGGAACTCACCTAACCAAGAGACCTAACAATGCAAATGGAAAGAAAGATTCTCTCTTTTATATTATGCTAGATGAAAGAGATGGACAAGGCACACTTTAAAAGACCACAATACAGAGGCAGGAGGTGGGACTAAATAGAGTACCTATTCAAGTTGTACATGGAACCATAGTCACTTGCATGATCTACTGTAAAGTTTTACAGCAAGAATGATGATGGACATGTGTAACAAAATAAGAAACAGACATAATTAAACAACCCCCTATCACAGATATTATAAAATCACAATATATTGGAAATAGTATAACCCTGATCAAAAAGCAATGCGATACAGTTGGAGCAATCTACAGTTTATAAAATAGGGTTCAAAGCCCACCCAGTGAAATGCAAAGAATAGCAAACTACTGAAACTGGTAAAGTATTCACAAAATAAATGGGTATATGTAAAGATAAATAGATATTTTTCCCCATGATGCATTGGGGGAAAGACCATACTAACTAGATAGACTTGAAAGCAACAAGTTTGCACAAGCTATGAGAGAACAGGAAAATTAAACTCATTTACTGATAAAGTGCACAAGCGTAGACATACTGTATATGAAAGAAAAGCTATATTAGAAGCAGAAGAAAGTTTTAATTGATGCATGAAAATATGTACCGAATTGGAGAAACAGTACTTCAGGGTAACAACTTGAAAAAAAAAATTGTATTAAAAGAGGCAGAGAAGCTGTAAAACTTAGAGTTATTTTTTTAATGTAGGCAACAGGGAGCTAATATTAATCATAACATACAAAATGCAAACTACAACAATATAATTTCTGAACAAAGAAAATACAAATCAATAAATGCTGTGAAGAGTAAAGGTATCACCACATATACATTACTATAACAAAAGCAAAGCATCAAAAGTAGGCAAAGAAACACAAGCTGACATCTACTGAAATAAGCACAAGCAACATACAGGGCACACAGGAAAAGAAAATGGTAATAGGGTGAAATACATAAAATATTTATCATATTCAGCAATGCACAAAATAGATTATAATCACAGAAGCAAAGAAATAGCAATGCTTGAAAATGAATATATTATATAATATTCAAAGATGTGAAAGTGGAATACTTGTGAAACACAGTTGTACACATTGTGTTTCATAAGGTTATTAAAATTATTACTGAAAGTGCATACTAGGAAAAAAAAAGGAAAATAAGAATCATTCTTTACAAAGAAAAAAGAAAATGTGGATGACACTTTCTATAACAGATGATCAAGGGATAACTATCTTGCAGGTTGTTTATTTAGAAACTGATCTTTTTCCACCAGATAGTTTGAATTTTATTTAGTCATTGAAAGATGGAATCTTTACCCAAAACATTCCAACATTGAAAAATCTGATTTAAATAGTTGAACCTAAACTTTGTGGAAATAGTGGAGAACGACTACACTGGATCAGTTCTCACCTTTTCAGAATGGCCTTTGTAGCGCTAAAGTTTAGAAGATGAAAAAAGACTGACCACTGGAGTACACTAAAGAAAAGAGGAAGATGCTGAAAAATGAGGTAACTTCAAGTGACAGCACATGTATCTTTGCTTGCAATATGATCAAGAATAAGGAAAGTGCAGAACTTAGGGAAAGAAAGGTGCAGTTTAATAAATAGCTATTAAAAATCCTTGGAACAAGGATTATGGCTATAAACACCTTGTAAATTGATCACCAGATAAGATTTAAAAAAAAATTAAGACAAAATCTGTGTTTTAAAAATGCATTTGCCTCAGTATTACAATACATATGTGAAAAAGAACTTAAAATACACAAGTTAAAAAAACAGAAAATGATTAATCTTAAAGCAGCAAGAGTAAACTAAAAGATTGGGGAGATAAAAATCTGATAATATTTGAGCACAGAGGCCTAAACGATATCGTTATGGACACTAACCAAACACTGACAAATACTCTGTTAATTATATGATCATACATATGTGTCTTAGACTTGAGATAAATGGTTATGAAAAATAACTGCTGTGAAATTGAATATATGTACATAATACCCTTTAAACTCCATACCACACTAATAAACTTGATTACTGTATATCACCTACCCCTGTTAACACACTCATTGCAGGCTCTGAACATTGACTAGTGTAAAACTTTGCTTAGACTGGAAAGCAAAAATTGAGACAGTTATTCCTATATTTGCATATATGAATAATTAAACTTCTCTTAATAATAGCAAACTCAGTTGAAATTTTATTTCACTGGTTTATGATACTGATATCAGATTTTTGTAGTGAAAGGCAAAAAATGCTAACATTTTGTAAAAATGTGTAATTGTAGACTGACCATTTTGCCAATATATGCTCAAGTATATCAACTTTTTAATATTATAATGTCCCACTGGAAGATGTTATTTTTATTTATTAAAAAGGAAAGAGATACACAGATAAAGAAACAGAAGAAACAGATAAATATCCTGGAATGTATACAGTCAGTAGTTTAAATATCTGATAACTGCACTTTTCAAATTAGTTGCATGTCAAGTGAAGCCAAATACTTATATTAAAGCTGCCTCATTATAGTAATCAGAAATAAATATTTTGAATTGGAATGTGTCTTCCCAAAACTGTATATGGACACAAAGAAAGTTTGTATCCAGTTTTTGAACTCTGGGATGAGCTGACTCAACAGATCAGTCAGTACCTGGGTTACAGAATGAATGCCTTTAGGGTGGAGTGTTACCACAGTGCTTTCTAAGGACTCTATTCGGATCTTCTCTTGTTCAAAGTAAGTTAGTATATCTCTGGACATTGTGGGTCAAAATCATGAAGTTGGTAGGATGATTTGTGTATAAAGCAAACAGGACATGACCTGGAAGCATCACAAAACTGGCACGAGAGGCTGCACTTTTAGTTTCATCAGATTTTTGTCCAGATCTGGCTGCAGTTGGATTTTCCACATTTGCATTTCTGACAACTATGAGGCTACTAGTGTGACTCAAGTAATGGCCTGTGCTGGAGGTGGTGCACTGCAGCAGGCACCTATAGGGAAATTCTGGCTGGTTCCCAGAGTGTTATATCAGAATGGCAACTCCTCTGTTTCAAGAGGTGAAGTGTGCACTCTTCCATGCCTGGCCAGTTCTGCTGCTCAGTGTGGTAAGAGAGAATACTAAGTCCTGGCTTTCAGGAAGCTAGCATCCATGGTCACTAGAAGGGAGCAGCGGCTCCCCTCTTGCAAGAGCTTGTACTTAATGCTGCTAAGAGGTAAAGGGAGCATGGGGTGGGAAGGTCCTTGCACTTCCCGTCACACTGCCTCTTGTGCCCCTGTGCAGAGCTGGGCAACAGTCAAGTCTATGGCGTTTAACTCATACCTACGACCGTGCATATTTATACCTTTATTTAACATGTGCCCAAATCCGTCAGTTTAATGCAGTATTGACTTTCTAGTTACTTCTCCACTGGATGTAACCCTGAATTGCGTATTAGAAATGAACAATCATTGTCTGAAACTACAGTCCAAACAGTTTACCTAACCTGACTGCCACAAGCAGAAATTACATATCATATGTATGGCCAACATAGGATGACCAGATAGCAAGTGTGAAAAATTGGAATGGGGTGGGGGAGTAATAGGAGCCTATATAAGAAAAAGCCCCAAATATCAGGACTGTCCCTATAAAAATCGGGACATCTGGTCACCCTAGGGCAATACATATTGCAACATTTTGGAGTTAGAGTTGCAGCATTTAGTAACATCTCTCTCAATGAAGTGAAAAGTGCATACTAAGCTTGCATTTTGATCAAAATCTGTCCCAGTCTGGGCAGTGTGTCTGTCAAAAAGTAAGAGTGCTATGGGTTTCGTTTCATTGAGAAGTATATCACAAAATGCTGCTGTCCCGTCTCAGTTTTATCTGTGTTCTTTCAAATATGATGGTCTGAAAGTTACATAAAATGAATATTTAACTTACTTTAGTCTGTATCAAACTGTAGTTAATTGCTTATTAATTGAAGTAAATTATCCTTACCATATCTGTCGGAGGTGAAAAACCTACATATGATGCACTCATTAGTTTATGGACTCAGAATCCCCTAGAAAATATCAGATATCTACATGATGTCCCACAGTGCTGTATTTTACATTTGGATGTCTCAGTTAGCTTACAGTGTAGAAAATCACATACAGGCAGACATCTTACTATTGACTACATATCTAAGGAGGCTGGTGTTTATTCCTGCAAATGTTTTCTGTAATATATTTCAATCAAGAAATGTTCTTTTGATAAAATGGATAAGATTATCCAAATACAGTGTAGGGCTAAAACAGGCTACTTTTAGTCATACCACCACATCCCTTTCCATATATGCATTATATAGGTATTTTTCTGTTTTGATTGTGATAATTGTATGATTGGGGAAAACATATACTTTAGTTGATGTGACCTGGCTGGTCATTTAGGTTTGCCTCTAGCTGCTACAAATCGCATTGAGGCAAATTACTAGGAGAAAATTATGGTATAAGTACAACAAAAATACTACATTTTGATGATAATAAGCGTGGGGATTGAATGGCTAAAGAGATTGATAATGATAATATAGAGTCTTTCGCCTTTAGGTTGCCAATGCAAATCCAAGTTAGTTGCAATGTTAATGGACAGGTGTCCACATCACAAAAACCATCACAACAATTAATACTAATTGACAGTCTTGTTGGCAATCTCAAGCAGAGAAATCTTGGACTGAATGGGCATGGAAACTAAACACCTTAAAAGTGGTGCCACTAGGAGGAGATGAGGCTCTTTGTTGGAGCAGTGTGGGAAAGCTTACCTTGCTGCTGCCTAATCCATACCCGTGGTGTAGACAAATAGAGTTCATTCCGTAAGTCAGTATAGCTACTTTCACAAACACTAATATATATAAGAATGTTTTTATGGCATTGAGTTTGCAAAGGGTGGACCACATTTTAAAAGACAGCCCCATAGATTATCTCTTCTCTCATTCATGATTGTACAGACCACCTTCCCACCAATTCACACTTATAACTTCCCTGTGGCAACTACAGTAATTGCTTACATGGAAATTTGTAATAAGACATTATTTAATATATTCTTTTAATGCAATTTAGAAGCTGGAAGCAAAGAGGAAAGCCAGCATCATATGATCTGCCAGATCTTCTACCTCGCAAGCAAGTGTTCCACAGGTCACCAGTAGCCCTCAGGTCACAGTTTGAAAGGCTCTGGTTTAAGGTAGCATTTTCAAAATACATCCGTGGGAAAGATACTTAATGTTGAGGGGTGCTCTCTGTTAAAACTCTGATTTTCCCAGACACTAGATAATTAGTAGGCAAGGGATGGGGGTGGAGGGTTGGAATTGCAAACAATTATGTCAAAGGACTTGGCTAATAAGTAGTGTTATTTTAGGGACAAGTTCAAGCGGCACCTGTATTCATTTTTGGAGCTTGCTGGGATGCTGAAAACATTGTACTGAATATTATAGAAGAGCTTAATATCACAGATGTAAACGACTAACACCAAACAAAAAAATTCTCAGATCTTTTTATTTACTAAAGTCAGAGTTAAATTGATATTTCTAAACTATTTTGCAACACAGTCCAGTGTTGTTTTTTCAGACAAACTACTGAATTTTCTTCTTGATCTTAAGTAAACATTGAGCTAATAAAGAAAGAGGCTTCCAAGCAACACAGAAGTTTAATCCAACACTTTTGAGTAAGAATAAGATTTTCACACAGTCCAAGCAAAGCTGCATATTACAATGCAAAACAGCCCCTGCCTCTACAGTTATCACTACACAAGGACCATTCAAGTACTATTAGCAAGACTTTTGATACTTGCTCTGAGGAGTTCCGACAGCAGAAATTTGTTATGCAGTAGCCTGTTTCATCAACAGGACAAAACAATCATTCTTTTTTCAGCTCTTATAGTACTAATAATTCACTTCCTCAAAAATCTACTGATAATTCTTGTGGGCTGGAAACAGGGAAGAGTTTAGGTCTAAGAAAATGGTTAGAACTGATTGATGACTTGAACTGTCAAACTTTCATTATGAAACCCAAAACCACATGCAGGTCCTGGTTTCAAGTTTCATTAACTCAAAACTCTGCCCAGGTTCTGCCACACTTTTTCTAAGGTTCAAAAAACTTAAGTGAAATGGTGCACCTAATTTTGACCCAAATGTGGACAGGAGTCAGTATTGGGCTGGATCTAAAAAACATGCAAAATATGTGGTTTTGATGCAAACAAAGTTAAACTTGGTTGTGCTGAATTTGCTTTGAATTTTGGAGTTTGCTCCAATCCAGAGCTCAGAAGATCCCACAAAAACAAAATTTGATTTTTTTTTTTTTACATAAAATGAAATTGTTAGCCAATGGAGCTTTGTAAAACTATGACCACACACCATACCTAGCAATATGGAGGTGCTAAAATAAAGCGTATTCTGGCATATCCAGTGCCACTATAATACATGTCATTTGTAGAAGCACACAGGAACATAATACAAAAGCAATCAAGCAACTTAATACTAAAGCAAACAACCTCAAAATGTTACTTTCTGTCCCTGTAAACTTCCAGAACACACTGGAATATTTGACTTAGATGACTAAAAACCAGAAAGAATAACTATAATAATGGAATCACCTCCACCCCGATATAACGCTGTCCTCGGGAGTCAAAAAATCTTACCGCGTTATAGGCGAAACAGCGTTATATTGAACTTGCTTTGATCTGCAGGAGTGCGCAGCCCCCCCTGCCCCCCGGAGCACTACTTTACCACGTTATATCCGAATTCGTGTTATATTGGGCCGTGTTATATCGGGGTAGAGGTGTACTAGGTCAATAATCAAAGAAACAAGGTATTAGAACACTTTTAATGTTTTACCTCACCAATATAGTGCTACCTAGTTCCTGGTAACAGTTATAGCATAGCCTTTGTTGAGTAATTAATTCAGGTAATGAATACCTGATCTGAACGGAAATTCATCTGCGTGAGTAATTAGAGATGGGATCCCACCAAAAAATGGGTAATTTTTAGGATCCTTGGTTAGAAGTCAGGTAGTAGATGGGACAGTTTATATGTACTTAAGGCCTCAACACAAGAAAAGAAATGAATAAAACATATCCCCCTAAGTGCTGTACAACACAATACAGTAATATAATATTTTGGGGAAAATGACTTTATATATTAGTTGATATCTTTCCAGTTCTTTGAAGAAATATGTGGGGCAAACTGCTGTGTGTGCATGAACTTTCACCATCATTGTTATAAAATTAATATTCATTTTATTAATTATTTCTTTTCAGAGTGTCAGTGTTCAATTCCTTCTGTAGTACAGAGTGATATCAAGCATTTGTTTTCTGTTCAGTTTTTTTAAATCTTCCTTTATGATTTTCCCCACTTATAAAGATAGCACCTTCATGAGAAATTGTGAAATATGTTACTCAAGAAAAATACAGAGGGTACTTTTTGTGTTCTCTTCCAGTTCATTATAATTTTGTAGGTATATAGATGTGGAATTTCCCTGTGCCATACCTGAGGGATGTGCAGTTTCAAATCTGGGTAGAACCAGGTAAGGAAAGATGCTTTTTCATTTGGACATAACCTTTCAAACAATTTAAGATTGGTGTAAACTACTGCAGTCACAGAGAAATAACTTCAGTACCAAGTTACCCCTGTTTTACCTAGGTATTTATTAGGATATTTGGGAGGAATACGACTTCTGTGTCGCCCAGTACATCACACAGTGTAGAATATAGAATATTTGTTTCTGAAATACAGATCATCTTCATATACAAGCACACACCAATGTACTACCATCAGTAAATTGTGCTTTAAAACAATCATCACTCAACACCAAAGTTTAAGTTTCCTTTTATATCATTTTTTGTTAAAAATAGCTTTTAGGGGAAAAGCACACAATATTTATCCATTCTTTCAATTGCTACCATTTTGTTGCCATTGTCAGAATGCAGCAAAGGGTTATGTCCTTTCTGTTTTATTTAGATGTGTGTAAATCTTTCCATGCACAAAAGGAATGTTATCTCCAGTCCATATTGGACTTTTGAAAATAAGGAATAAGAAGAATCTGCTGTACTATCAAATGAGTGAAAGAAATTTAATTAACACCTCTGAAGTGTATGCCTATTTAAGTATCATAACAATATGCGTGTGTTTGTATGTATATATATATAAATAAATACACAAACATGGCCAGATTCTGTACTGTTGAACCTATGTCACCTTGCTGAAGGCCATGGGTATAGCTGAAGGCAGAATTTGGCTCATTCAATTTAATGATCATGTTGACACACAATTTTAAGATTAAATGGCATTGTGTAATTCATTACTAGTTAAAATGCTAGTTTCATGACAGGATAATTTAACCCCAGAGTCAGTGCAGAAACCCCTGCAGTCAAACAAATTAAGAACAATAAGTTAAGAACAGGAAAAAATGAGTTTATGCTAAGAAAAAAATACAAAGATGCAGTATGCTATGTTAGATGTTTAACTATACATAAGAGACAGGTGTCACAAAAACAAACAAACAAAAATCATGAAGTCAAAGAGAAACTTTAACTCACCAGTTTCCATCTGTTAAATCTGAATCTATGCATAATTGATTATCCATGACTGGTAAGTTCTTCTTTTCCTAGCCTAACATTCCACTAAACAGTTTTTGAAAAACAGTAAGGACAGAATAAAAAAATTTTTAAATGAAAAATTACGTATCAGTTAATAATATAGCTGACCTGTGTTTGAGAATTTTAATCATGTGAATCTTAAATAGTAATAACTTATTCTGTTATTGTTATAGTATGGTTAAAAGCTTCTCCATGCTTAAGGAAAGAGGAAAAAGTAGGAATATGTAACAGTGTGTGTGTGGGTGGGGGGGGAAGATACAGAAAGATGAGAAGCAGAGACATAAGGAAAATGTGTCAACAATAAACAAGAGGAAATGAGAAAGAAGGAAAAGATGAAGGTGGAAACTAATCTCTGTGTGTCATTATGACTGCCAGAGTACTGGCAAAGCAGCAGCATCCTTTTATTTCAATTTTAATCATTTCTGAATTTTAATACCCTGCTCCTTTTGTAATTCTCCTGGCATTCCCCATATGCATCCATCCCAGCCAAAACACCAGTGTAAATTAAATGGCACACAACCACACTACTTATGTAGCTTTCCCAAAAGAACCAATCGGGTGACCAAAAGCAGAAAAGGTATGTCTACCTTGTGTCCCTGTGGATGGCTAGCCAATTAACTGACTTAATGTTCCCCACTTTCTTTAATTTTGAAAAGAAGGGCAGTGGTTAAGTAACCTAGTAATACAGAATCATTAAATAAATAAATAAATAAATAAAGCAAGCCAGTAGTAATACAATAATCAGTGACCATCAGGGCCTGGAAAAATGAGTTTGCTCTCACTGGCACTAAGGAGCATCACATGATTATTTAATTACAGCTCTAATTTTTGTCTCGTGGATGGCAACATATCAACAATTAATAGGGCAAATAGAGGAGACTGCATTTTTAAAGAGACAGAACCTATAAAATACTGCTTGGAAATACAGTATGTCAAACAGTAAAATGCTGCTTGAGGAATCTCTATCTTTGTGTCACACAAATAGCTGTTTAACTATGCAACAAATATTAAAAATATCGACTCTGCAGGTATAACTTTATGAGATGGTATCTGAAAGCATTTTTCAGAATAGTCAACAATAATCTTGTTTCTCACAGGATAAATCACCCAAATACAGCATTTAATGGAATCACAAGTCCAATAAATGAAAATGTTGTTATAAAATGAACACATCCTTTATTTTAAAAAAGTACTACAGTATTCTGCAGTAATTATAGTGAGGATTATAGTCTTCAGTAAGCCAAATTAAATATTACATCGGCAGTGGGACTTAAATAGGAGATTTTCCTTACAGAAAGTACTGAATTAGGTTCAGTAGCAATACTGCCGTGGTTGGGTCTATTCATGAAAAATGCTGTAGCGTTGTTCTTGTTTTTAATCATAGAAAACATACCTATGATCTAAGCACCCACTTTTGCCCTCAGTTACACATGTGCAGTTCCCATTATGCCTGATCCTGCTAGTAATCTCAGTGCAAAACAACCATTGGCAACTATGCTGAGTTCTGCATATGGAACACTTACATTATTGGGATCACAGTAATCAGTGTAACCTGGACACACATTGGAGGGGGGAAACTGGCACTAGGTAAATATATTATTTTGCTTATGATGATGGTCATTTTCTATAGCTTCTGGTAGTCCAAATCACTGGTCACAAATATTTATTATATAGAATGTATTTCAGGCAATAATAGTATTTAAGAGCTAATGCTGGAAAAGAAGATTCTAAATGTCATGTCAGATACGTTAAAAAAATAAAACAAAACAAAAAACCACCCACCACACTACAATTAGATTATTATTATTGAGTCTGTCTACTCAATATGCAATGAAAATATTTTTTTTAAAAAGTTTTAAAAAATGCCTGTAAGGATATTTGATTTGAATGGGCAAAGACATATGTGAATTGTTTCCATGTACAAGACTGGGAAAGAAAATAAAAGTGGTAAACAAACAATTTTTAAGTATTACTTAAATACACGAAAGTGTTCACAAATTTTTCAATTTTTTTTTAATGAAGTTGAGTTGTTTTGACTGAAGTCATGAAAATTCTGGATTGAAGATCTGAATCTATAATCTTAAAAAGAAGGTTGGCAAGCAAGAGCCTGCATGTAAGAGTATATATCATTCTCTTTAAGTGATACTTAATATACAGATAACATGTCTCACAAAGACTGTAATTAAATGTCTAGTGCACTAGTAATGCTAATAAGCATACAGTATTTATATTACAATGAATCCTTAGAAACTAAAACTGTCATTTTAAAACTTTTAAGATATTTTTTATTGTTCTTGGGACCTTTAATACCAATCAAGAAAACTCACCTATGAACAAAAACATTCATAGTTAAAATAAACTTTCCACTATTGTTCCCCATATAAAAATCTATTGGTTTAAACTTTAAATTACAAACCTTTTAAACCCAGGTTGAATTTTCACTTGGTTTTGTTTGCTGTTGCTATTTGCTGTATCCGTGTGTGTATGTGTGTATATATATATGTGTATACACACACATACACACACTGCTACTACATGTAATACTATATATATAGAATTTGAAACATTGAAATGTATTCTGTTCAAAACTTATTTTTCATTGCAAGTGGTTTCATTTATCTGGCCATCAAGAACAGACAAATTTAGCATACACTACGTACTGATGGGCATATGAAAGATACTCTACGTTGCAAGTAAAATCTTTCCGTTTGGGTCCCAGAACAACATCACTGCTTTGCACATATACAGTATAGTGTTTTTCATCCAAATATATCAGAGTGCTATGCAAACAGAAAAAAAGTAATTAATTAAGCCTTACAACACTCGACAGACAGATAGGGAAAATAAGGCAGATACACAGTAAGAACCTTATTTGCAAAGATGCTGAGCACCTGCAGTTTGCAGTGATTTCAGCTGAAGTTGTGAGCGCTTAGTTCATGTGAAAATCGGGCCCTAATAGTGGCATTTTCAAAAGCACCTAAGTACCTAACTCCTTCCATTGTCTAGGCACTGTAAGTGACTTGTCCAAGGAGACACTGAGTCAGTAGCAGAGATGCAAATAGAACCCAGGAATCTTGATATCCATTCTGCCACTCTGTCTACCAGGAAAGGATTAAGGGGTAATCCTTAATATATGGTCTCCATAGTCAGATATATCCCCACTGCTGCAGTGACACAATACACAAATGATTGCTGATGGTCAGCTACTTGTTGCCAAAGCAAGCGCCTGAGTGAAGCAGATGTACACTGGGTTTAAAGGCCCTCCCTGAACACCTCAGGTCATGTCAAAATATGAGCAAAGGGGAAAGTCCAACTCAGCTGGTGTATGGTACATACTGCTGTCTGTCTGAGAGGAACAATTTTTGTGGTCCACATAATTTTAATCAACCTATTCTTTCATGAAAGAATCATTGACACAGATGAAGAGGGCTTATTTCATGAACTAGTGTTATCAAAGCAGAGCTCCTGCTAAACAACTGAAAGGGAATAAATAGGCCAATATAAAAAAGAAATGTTACACTATCAGATCTCACCCTGAATATTTATATGTAGACAGACACAATCTGTATCAGAATAACTGATCTCAGAAGAAGTATTTTTAAAATAAACAGTAAAAGATACAGTTGCCATACAGTTGGTAAACAGTGTGTGTTAATACTTTGTTCACACCCTATACATTAGACCTGATAGTGACCTCCCACCAGTTATATACAAATGTAGCACCATTACCTTCAACGGAGTTACTCTTGATTTTCATCAACATGAACGAGAGGAGAATTAAACCCACCAAGTTTAAGAAGATATATTTACTATTCAGAACAGCACTTGAGAGGTATGTTATCATACCAGACTAATTTTAAGGGGAATCACTTGTATAACTGATCTGATTCGTATGCTATATATGGGCCATAACCTACCCTTAATCTTTGTTCAGAACTTCATCTACTGTTACGGAGATCTGTACACCCTGATGGAGGGCTTGTAGAACCATTAAAAAGTCAACATTTGCCAACTGGTAAACAGATATTACTTATATCCGATACACAGTAACTGTTGGTAAACACCTACTTTTTAAAAATGGCCATTGCATATCCTTTTTGTTGTAACAATTACAAACTGTGGTACATTGTTGGTTAGAATTAGAGTTGTTAGTACCATACATATGGAAGAGGACGTATACCTTTAATTTAATATTAAATGTAGTAAGTTTATAACTTGTTTTGAACAAAGGGGACCTCAGCGGCAAAGATTAGATGCAGAACACCGTGATAGTGAATGTAATGGTATTCTCTTCAAAGTGTAAGCTGTTTTTACTAATGTTATCTACAGGTTAGCAGTCAGGTAATGAAACAAAATTTAAAAATAACAATGGAATTTTCTGAGGTAGGAAACAGACTTTTTAAGAAGTTGCAAAATTTAAGTAGAAGTACTACAAGTTCTTATTTAACAATCAAACTGGAATATAGGTTGTTTTGATTTTTTAAATAATGTACAGCAACTTTGTAACAACTAAAGTTTAAAAATGCATTAGATTGCATAGTGAAAGAGTTGCAGAACATTTTTCATCATACACACATCTGTGTTCTCAGTTATTAATAAAATGCTTCTCCCCTTATTTGCAGTTGTCTGAATATACAATTTAAGTGGCTCGGTAGGCATATATTCTTAAGGAATGATGTTTTCACTGTTTGAAACACAACTCAAGAATGCTAGGCAAAACTGAATACTGTTTCTTTAAAACTGGCTTCTGCATGCCACAGAAAGCATATCTGGAATGATAACAAAACTTTTCTTTTTCAAACAAGGAAGAGTCAGCTGCCATGGATAACACCGCAGGTAGATATTAAAATGGAGACAGAACCATTATTTAGTGGCAACAAGAATATAAATACATGCACTAACCTATAAACTGGTATTTACTTCAGGAAAATAAGTAATATTTTCCCTCTGATTGCTGTGCTGTCAGTTTAATGCAGCGTAAATAAACAGTAGGTGCATGATAGCTTTAAGTAGAAAGTGTTCACTCCACAAGAGGAACAGATTACTAAAGCCTGATGCCCATAATGGCAAAAACAGAACTTCCATTTTACCAGAAAAATATGTTTTCTCATACTAAGTGATTAGTAGCTTTTCTATTAAATCAGTTTGTCAAAATTCTATGAAAAATGCTATACAATCAAACAACTTTAGCAAAAACATTTATTTTAGCAGCCCTAAATTTGAATAATTAAAAAAGTAAAAAACCCTCTTCTATAATTTTATCATCCCGCTCTAAATGACCACTTCATATCATCATCCCAGTATAGCAAAAACAAAATAAAATAAAATAAAATGATATATGGAACTGCCTATACTTTCAGTTTTTTTCTCCTTGTATTCCCTGACTGAAAATCAAAGTTTCCTCTTTGGAAAAAGCAATGATTTCTAAGGAGATTGTATATACACCCTACATCTATTAACATAAATTAAAAAACTAAAATGTTCCACTTATGTTTAAAACTGTTCTAGAAGGAAAGTTTGTGGTGTTATTAGATATTTAATAAATATATCTAGAGAAAGCCATGGCAGGTATGCATAAGAGGGTTATAAAACTCTGCAGTAGTATATATGCTAAAATAGAATATTCCTTAGAAACATGACTGAAATATTAAAAAAAAAACACAAAAAACATTTCCCCCATTATTAATAGAGATATTTAAGTAGCCTGGAATGTTGTGTTATCTTGAACAACAATTTCTCTGTAATCCAAATGCAAAATGTTAATATATTTATCAATCTATTAAATTAATAAAATTTACTAATCTGTTTGTCTCCCTCCCCCAATACAACTAGAAAGCATAACAAGGATTTCAATTTAATCTTATGGTATTCAGTTAAAAAAAAATCTGGCAAACAGCTGTATTTCAACAAATGTATTCCTTGACTGAAATAAAATTTTCCTCTAATTTAAAATATCAAATTAATTTTTTTTAAATAATGCTGAACTATGTTGAAAATTGCAAAAATTGAAGTCCTATGCATTTAACCCCTTCTCCAACAAAAATATTAATGTAATATAAGTTGTAGTTATCCATGACTTGACTACATGAAAGAGAGACACTTCTGTGGTTTGAAAGGGCACACCTGCCTACATCCCTTTGGGATTTTATATTACTGAATTACTATGGTACTTTGAAGACAGTACATTGTATTTAGTTTAGTACTATTTATAACCAAAGGATCTCTATAATAATAAGGGACAGGTGCTTATCAGCTGACCTTCTGGGCCTACATTGCAAACCATAACTTGTTAAGATCAAAATGATTACTGCAAGCTTTGGCTAAATTGGGAGCTTCTCTCTTTCTTCCTATTCTGCAAATCAACATGTACCATTAATGAATCTCAGGCTGACTTTACCTGCTTTATATTTCTTTCTCAGAAATAAGCAGTATTTAAGTACTTATCCTTAGATAAGTCTTGTTGAAAGAACAGGAGAAGAGAAGGAGGAACTGTTTTGGTAGTTACTTTGCTATTTAATGATTCAAGAACAAAGAATATTAAAAAGAAACTAACTTTTAAAAAATGCATGAACAAAAAGCATTCCACTTAAATATTTTTGTCCCAGTAAAGTCATTTTGCATACAAAGAACTATTATTTAATTACACATTTGCACTTGTAGGGAAAAGGAGGAATGCACTGCTTCCAGAAGAAAAAAACAACAACAACAACGACACAGGCTTTTTGGACACTTCCCTCTATGTTCTTGTTTTACTTAGATTACTGTTTTTCCAGGGGAAAGAGGAATTCCTTGGAGTCAGTTGTTTTTTTTTCATTAGTTGTTTGTATGCAGGAGTGGGTACAACTGTAGACAATGATTTTATTTTTGTTATAGAGCTTTATAATGTATGTGGGCTATCCATTTATACGTATATACACAAACATGTATGCATACATATGCTGTCTTTTTATGTTCACTTTTTACTATACATGATTACACATTTTTGCGTATAAAATATTATTTCCACTTGATCAGTGAGATATTAATAAAATCTGAAACAGGAAATGAGTGTATGTATAAAGTGTATAAATAATATTAACACTGCAAGTAAATATGATACAAATTACAGATACTATACTATATTCCAGCCTTTACAGAGTTTCAACTTTCTTTTTTAAATAATGCACCAGAGTTAATGTCTTTATATCTGGTGACTGCTTTAAACACTTGAAGAGATAGGGAAATATCCAATCCAATCCTTGTATTAACTAACATTGCAATTTTACACTTATTGTAACCTTTTCTAACAATGTGAGAAAAACATAGTAAATATATTAAATTTGTTTCACAACAGATGCTTAGGTTGTTAATATTTAAGATGCTTATTCATGCTATTCCTGTCTGCACATTTGTCAAAAATGTAAGCTTGAATGCTAATGTTTGCCAGCAGACTGGAGCTGACAGATATATACCAAATGATATCCCAATGTACTATACCAAAATGATATAAAGTAGAAATAAAGGACTGCTGCTAAATCATATCCCCAATAAAGGTCTGTTACTAGATCACATGCCTTAACCTTAAGAGTTCTTGAATCTGAAATTATGAATTATTTTCATAGGAAAATTACACTAGGTTTGACTGAATAAAACTGATTGTTGGTGTTTGCCAATTTTTTTACCCATTTTGGGTAAAAAGCTGGTGTAAAATATTTTAGCAAAGTTTTCAATGGGATAAGGGTTTCTCTGTCAGTAACAGAAGCACTTTAAATTTCTGGGACTGGCAGAGCAAAACTTGGAAACTTGCAGGTGTCTGTCATTAGTTCTTCTCACTGGAACTAATCAAATATTTCGACAAAACTATGAGAATTAGAGGAAATTTTCTGTTGGTCTCAAAAAAAAAATTCAAGGCATACATTTGTATTTGAATTACTTTCCTTTGAACTAAATGCGCTTGTATATATAGTAAAATGACATTTGAAAGGCGGCTCAGGTGTCTTTTGAACAGTGGCACTATCTTGGTGGGACGCTTTGGTTAATGTACTTAAAACTATCAACTTATGAGGATTTTCCAAGTGCATCTTTGGATCGCTGGTTGGAAATAAATACTCTGTTTCCTTTTGGAGCCTTCGCTGCTGCTTCAAGGACCCAACCAGTTCTAAAGTGGAAGACGCCAGGGGAGGGACCTCCAGCGGAGAGGAGATAGCATACCTGTGCTTACAGTGCCTCCTCACCCCTAAGGTCACAGGCACGCCAGCTGCCACGATGCGTGCTGCGAGAAACGTTTCCCTCTCAGAGATCACTGCCAAAGTTGATCTCCTTCGTGTTTCTCTTCCTTTCCCCCCCTATGCAGCCTCGCAAGACGATCCTCAGCAACTTTGCGTTTCAGGTTAAACACGGCGGCTAAGTATCCCCCCCACAGCCCACACACGTTTAACAAACGCATCGTTTACAGCGCTCCCAATCCAGGCAACCTGTCGCCAAGGCGGCTGGCCGGTATAACACCGGCACCCTCCCGTGCTGAGCACGCGGTGGGGGAGAAGTTTCCCAAACTTTTCGGGAACTTGCCCTTTTCAAGTGGCTGCTGCAAGGGAAGGTGGCCGCAAGGCCGGTGGCTCCGGCTCTGCCCCTCAGCAGGGGTTCAGCAGCAGCCGCAGCCCAGACGGGACAACCCCCCGGGGTTCATGGCATGCAGCCCTGCCAAGGCGGCAGGTGTGTGGCGCGCCGGCGCTGCTCGGGAAGGGGGTTTCCCTCCTTGCCTCCCCCTGCTTTCCCGACCCCACAATGTGACTATTAATACAAGAACCGGGGCGCGCTAGAGATCGGGGGGGGGGGGTAGCGAAGGAGGAAAAGAGACCGACTCACTCATGAGAGCGCAGCGGGCGACACCTTCAGCTTCCCAGGCAGCGGCGGCGAAGTTAATCGCGCTGAAGTTCAAGTTGTCTGTTCACCCATCGGGAGTGGGCGTCTAGAGGAAGGAGACGCGGAGGGGGGAGCCACGCACGCCCGCTGCCGAGCAGGCTGCTCAGGGGGAGCCCAGGCTGACAGCAGGGCAGCAAGGTACCAACGCGGGGCCGGCGTGTACTCGGCTCCTTCTCTGTGGCGGAGCCCTTGGGCGGGGAAGGACGCCGGGCGCAGGCTTCAGCGGGCGAGCCTCGGCCGGGGCTGGCTCAGCTGCACCCGTGCGCCGTGTCTCGCTGCCTCTCTCCCCCTGGCGGACGCTGCTCGCGCCTGTGCCGGAGCCGAGCCGCCGCGGCTGCTGCCCTCCCCGGGTGCGCGGCGGCAGCAGCAGCAGCAGCAGAGCCGGGCTAGGGAGGGGGAGACTGAGCGCCGGCGTAGAGCGGAGCCGGGAGCCGCCGCCGCCGCGGGAGCCGGGTGTGCGTCTGGCACTCGCTCTTTCCCCCCTTCTGCTTGCCCCTGTTTTTGGGGCTGAGTTGGTGAGAGTGGTTTGTGTGCGCGCGTGTCTCTGCCCCCCCGGCTCGCGGTGGAGGAGGAAGTCAGGTGAGAGACACACAATCCCCTCCCAGCCCCGGTGCGATGGGTAGGAGCTAATCACTGTTGTTGTTGGGCTGGTGGTGGCGGTGGTGGTGGTTGTTTTTAATGCTATTATCTTGCCTTCCTCCCACCCTCTTCCCTCCCTCCCACCCATTCCCGGAGAGCAGCGCCCCTCGCAGGAGCACCGGGCTGATCACCCCCCCCCCAACACACACACAACTCTTGAACCTCCCCCACTCTTTCCTCCCTCCCACCTCCACTTTCTCCCTCCCTCCGGCTCGTTTATTTCAATATTTATACTCCACATGCTTGGCTGTCAGCTGCTGCTCGCTTCCAGCGAGTGAAAGGATGAGCGAGCAGGCCGGTTTCCGAAAGGGATCTAACAAAGGTGATCAATATTTTAAGGGTCAGATCGTCAAGTGGGACCGGAGAAGAGGGACAGACACAGGGCTCCGTCTCTCTTTCCAGATGGGCCGCGTGTGCGCGCCTGTGGCCCGGTCGCTGAGACCCGGGGGTGGGGAGAGAACAAGCTGGCGCAGATGAAGTTAATGGAAAGTGTGTGCATGGGGAAGTGGCTCTGAAATCTGGATCGAGTATGACAGCAGGCAGCCCGTATTTGCTTTAGATAAGGGGGGCAGGGATGTGTTGGATTTTTTTGTTTGTGTTTGGTTTTTTGCAAGCATTCCACTTGTCAGGCTCATACCGTGAACTGCAGGTGTCAGTTTGCAACTAGGCACGCTGGAGCTACTCTGTGTGTGTTTTTTAGAAGCTGCCCTTAATTCTGTGGTCCTTTCATACGATGTTTTATGTCGCACAAAGTGCTTTTAAATAATTATATTTCTGATTTTTCTTCATTAGTGTTACTGCCGCTTGGAGAGACTTTTTAGACCTTCAGTCCTTCCTTAGCTGATGCACAGTTTGTAAGTAAAGTTCCTGGAAAGTGAACCTGGCAGTGAATTCAGTTTTTCCTGAAAGCTGAGATTTTCTTTTCCTCTAGAAGCTTGTGAAGAGAGAACACTGGGGATTCTGAATGTCAGTCCAGTCACATTCTGTATTTTCAGTCTGTGGCAGAGGTGATGTCTCAGCTCCTGGAACAAATAAACAAAAATAATCTAGACAACTTTATATATTTTTGAAATAAGGGATCTTGACATTGTTAAGATGATACACCTTTCTTTAATAAGCCAGTGCTATACTGTTGTATTTATTGGCATAAAAAGCTGCCACTTTGTAACACCATTTTTGAATAATCATTAATCCACAGAGAATCCATTAAGCCCAAAGGTTACATTATAGTAATAATATAATAATTAATAATATTGATCTTGCCAGCAGGGAGAACTCTTTTATGTAGTTATTACCAGACACTCCCATTCATACAAGACATAGTGCGGCAAATTCATCCTGGTGTAACTTCATTTGACTTCAGTGGAGTTGCCACAGGGATGAATTTGCCCTATTATTTCAACCTTGAAGTAATGTCCTTCCCTTCCCTAAGACTGCTGAAGTCACTGACCAGTTCTGACCTTTCCATCTGAGATTAATATCTAGCTTTGTTAGAAAAATTCAAACTTCTCTACCTGAAACTATGCTACCTGAACAGTTTTAGACCTGCTAACAATTTCTTGGAGTGGCAGTTGATTTTCTGATCTTTGGGAATTACAGGGAAGTATAATGAGTGTCAAAGTGAAGAGCACTTCACACATGCCCATTCAAACACTTCTTGGAGCTGCCTACCGGATGAGCTCCTAGCATTCAGTGTGTGGCATATTTCCTCTTGTCAAATAAATATCTTCTTTGCGTACATCAACCACTTTTGACTCAGTGGTCAGTGGTTAATAATAATAATACAATGTTTCACTTCTTCAAAGTAGTGATAAATAATTAATTCTCAACTCCCCAGTGAAGTATTTCTGTAAATTGGGGATAATATCGCTTACTGTTGGGAAAACCAAAAAAAGAGAAAGATTAAGTGATTTGCCTGAGGCCACACATTGAGTCAGATGTAGAGACAGAAGTTAGTCGTTCCTAATCCTGTATATAGACAACACTGCCTCCTAAAGACCCAAAGATGCCTCATGGAAAACATTGCTCTAAGAGAGAGTTCTGGAATTATACGTATATAATCTTTTTTGTTGTTTTAGAAATAGAGGTATTTGCATAAAAACAAAAGGATTTTATTCCACATATGATAATTACCTAGCTTTTCAATAAACATGGTGATATCTGATTTTTGCAACAGGCCCCAAAATCCATAACGAGATAATTCTCTCTGGAAACAAGAAAATGCTTGACAACAAAATTACAGAAATGGGAGCTATAAAGGGAACAGAATTGCTGCCAGAGCCTCCACTTTTGTGAACATGGATCTCAAAGTTCAGTTTGGCCATGTGTGGATGTGAAAAGGGCTTGCAGATTAGTACTTCAGA